CCCTGAAAAATGGGAATAATTACAGAATCTACCTATCATTGAGGCTTGAGGCTTGATGATTTAATGCAAGTAAAAGCACTCACAACACTCCCTGGCACTTAAGTCTTTGATAAGCATTAGCTAGGTTAGTTCTGCTTAATCCAAAAAGAAAATAAGCTAAAATGTTTATCCTTGATTGTATTAACTCCTATTTTCACTTTTCCCTCTTCCACCCCGACCTAATCCTCATTAACTCTTTTTTTTTTTTCCTTTTTGTCTTTTTTCGTGACCGGCAACGGGATCGCAACCCTCGGTGTTGCGCCCGCACCTCGCTCAGCCAGTGAGCAGCTGGTCTTCATGTGGGATCCGAACCCTCGGCAGGAGCACCACCGCGCTCCCAAGCGGCGCACTGTAGCAGTGCGCCACCAGGCCGGCCCTATCCTCATTAACTCTTGAAGAGCCCTGCGGGTGGTGGTAGCTTAGGGCATGGATCAAGGGAATGGGCTCTGTCCTCCTCAGGGCAGCTGGGCACAGTCTCTGCCAGTTCCTGACTCGGGGCTGGGGGATAGGACAGCAGGTCAGAGTCACTCTTCCAAAGGGTCCCAATGCTGCTTCCTTCTTTCTCCTGATCTCCCTCTTCCTCTTGCTTCCTCTGAGCTAGCTGGTTTCACGAAGGCTGAATTGGCAGTGAATTATAATAACAGGGTTATAATAACAGTTCATTATAATAACAGGGTTAATGACAGAGTTTGAAGGTCCCCCAGGCGGGTCTTTAGACATTCCAATCTACTTCTTCACCTTGTTCTCTCCCTACTGTGTGATCAAAGGTATTTAAACCTGAAACTTGAAAGAAAAGGAAAACCTACAAGTAAATACTGCCTTTTGATTTTTTTTTTAAATCATCTTTATTTTCATAGAAATTCAAGCAAATTTTGTGTTTTACTATTTGATCGTAATTTAAGTACTGAGAAGTAAATATTGCGTTTGTTCCTGTTTCTTTCATCTTATCCTTAGGGAAACAATGCAAGGAAGAAGCAGAACATGTTTAATAATGAGTTAAAGGGTGGGTATATGCAGAAATGGATTCAGAAATACAGAAGCTATACTCAAAAAAATGTGCTGATTTTAGTTTCAGCAAATCAAGCAGATGAAGATCATGAAAAGGCATTTTTTAACAGTTCATTGGAATTAAAAAAAAAAAAAATGGGGAAACTAAAAGTTATTACTGGAGGAAGTATATAACTTCCTTCCTTCATTATGAATTCCGTTATTATAATTTTCAAAAGATATGCTGGGAATTTCAGAAATTCCCGAGTGGGTGTAAGTTTGTAAAGACATTTTCATAAAATCTAAACTTGTTAAAATTAAAAAACGTATAAAATGAGAAGGACTTCTTTAATTTTATGCTTCATACACAGTCTCAGCTAAGATTTTTTTTTTTTTTTTTTTCTGATAAATCCCATTTCCAAAACTTATGTTTTGGCTTTTATGTCAAAGCAACCAACACTCCTAATCTATTAATACTGTGCTCTGTTTGGTCAGGTTTTTGTCTGGAAAGGCAGATACTTCAGGGCAGTTCTACAGATAATCTGTTTAGGGACATCAGTCAAACAATATGCTGATTCTTCCCCACTCACCGAGCTCTGGGTCCACCAGTGAAACCAAGACTCCTGAAGGTGGTGCCCAGCGCACGCTCAGTGTGGTCCCAGCCCACCTTCCCTGGATCTCCTGCCATCCTATCACCACCTTTACCACTGCCATACGTACCCCCGGCCTCATGTGTGTTACTTCATGTGTTCCTCACCACAGCCCCATGGAGCAGTGCTGTTACCATTCCCATTTATAGCAGAGGGAACTGTTTTTAGAGAGGGCATGTCCCGTGTCCAGGGCCACTCAGCTGGTTAAGTGGTAGACCAGATCTCTGGTCCCTGCTGGTGTTCATGCCAGCCTGCTCGCTGTCCTTCACAATAGACCTCCAGTGTCCTGCTGAGGGGCACAAGCTCTGGAATCACGCGCATCTGAGTTCAAGTCCCTGTTCTCCTGCTTAAAACCTCTCTGTGACCTTTGGCAAGTTTTTAACTTCTCTGATCCGTAGTTTTCTCATCTATACATGGGGATTGCAAGACTCCCTCTCTAATATGGGTAATGATGAAGTCCATAAGGTGTTGGGCACCCAAAAATGTTAGACATCATTTCTGGATGATAAGTGTAATTATTTTTAAGAATTAAATTTAGCACAAAGAAATAAGATTCCCCAAACTTCAGATTCTAGTTGAAATGATTCTAATTGACATAGCTATCCTTGCCCCACATGTGGCCAAGGTCACTGCACCTCCATTATTGTGCACATACCCTCCTCCCCCAGCGGATGCAGTTGGCTTTTGCTTGCAGTGACTCTCACCTGTTTGTTTAGCCTTGAAACCTTCTTCCCCTGCACACACTCATACTCCCACTCCTGTGGCACCCCTCTCTTCTGGGCACAGGGCACTCTCATCCTTGGTTAATGTGGGTCTTCTCCACTGGGCCATGCACTCCATGAGGCCAGGGCTATGGCTCTTCATCACCATTTAGTGCACAAGTGCCCAGCCAAGTGGCCACACACAGTAGGGTCATGAACACACGCTCAGTGAAAGACATGTATGGCTCCACATCCTTTTCCAGCTTAAAAAGTCTCCTCATTTTATCAGTGAGCAGGAAAGCGGGTCTGTGTTCCACTTCTTAGGCACAGGCAGAACCATCCTATCACTGGAAGACTTATCTGCAGGCTAACCATGATTACCCTGAAGCATATGATACCTCCTCTTGAAAACATGTGTTTCCTCTTGAAAACGTGTTTCCTTTTGCTAATCTCAAAAAACAAAAACGGGCTTGGTTTTAATGCATTTATATGTTTGGTAGCTGTGGCCTCCTGTGGTTTATAATTGTGTTTTCGTGTGTGTGTCTTTGTTTTTACGTAGCAATTCCCTCCCCACCAACTGAAGTCAGTGTCCACAGCAGTACTGCACACAGCATTCTGGTCTCCTGGGTGCCAGGTTTTGATGGATACTCCTCATTCAGGAATTGCAGTGTTCAGGTAAACCTTCGGGATCTAGAGTGAGGTAGTTGTCTGGTGCTTGTGGGTCTGATTTTTCTTCCTGCTGAGGATGGGCGCTGAGGGCATCTCTCCACCTCTGTTCAGAGTCCCTTGACTTACCCCTGCTCAGTGTCCACAGTGCATGCGTGTTTCACATGCTCTGTCCTGGGATGCAGCTTCCTTTCCCTGCATGGTCCAGGGCCCAGCCAGAAGAGAAACATGTCTCCAAGGGAGAACATCATGAGACCAGGGAGAATTAATTTTTAAGTTACAAAAGCACATCCCTAAATGAGGGCTGGCTCATGACAAGGAAATCAGGAAGCCAGGTACTCCCCAGCGTGGACAGATGGGCCAGCACAAGACAAGTTATTGAATGTAGCACCTTAGCCATTGTCTCCCGGGGAAACCTAGGGATTACAGACCTTGTAGTCTTCAGCCTCTTTTAACTACTACCTAAAATTGGTATGAAGCAGTGCTGTAAAAAATACAGGTCAGCCATCCTAAAACAGTACCTTGCCGTGATATAAGATCTGCTCTTACTGTCCATAAAAATGGAAACGGTAGCCATA